AATGGGAAGAGTTGTGCGTTAAATATCTGAATCTTTCATTTGAACCCAGTATATACTGTTGAATGTGACCATGACTTCAGATTTATTTAACCTCTCTGAACATAAATGGCAATAATACTCTGGCCTAAATCTTAGGGTTCTTTATGGTGTATTAATGGAGACTGAAAAGTCAACATCTTGATGTTCTGGAGAGCACTTTTGTACTGAAATTCTAATACCAGTAAAAAAAAAAAAATGATAAAACAGCTCACTGATTGCTGCCTTTTATGGAAGAAAAATATGAAGAAGTTAAACAGCCCCAAGAAAATATTTAATCTTTTAAATCCGTTTTAATCCAATCAAGTTAAAACTATAAAACATCTTTTAAAAAGATATTGTAGTTTAAATTGCATTACTCTGCCTTGAATTGAGTAAATACTAGTGTTAGGGGACCTTGTACTGTTCTCAATTATATGTTAGAGAAATACTTCTCCACCACCACGGACTTCAAGATGTTGCCACCCAACATCAGGCCATCTGATTTACTTTGGTCAATGTAAATGAAACTGACTTGTGCTTTTTTTGTTGTTGTTTGTTTTGAGCAAAATATTAAGATCCTTTATGAGATTCTGCTATTTCTCATTTCTTTTTTCTCTCTGCCATCTGAATTGGATGTCCTAAGATGTGTCAGTTCTGTTGTTCTTACCTGATACTTGATTGAGATGTGAAGCAGAGACACAGCCAAACTGAAGCTAGTATGTAATGTGACTAAGAAATAATTATTTTTTGTTATAAACCTTTGAGATTGGGGGACTGTCTGTTACCAACTAGGATAAGCTGACTAATACAGGCCAATATTCTGAAATGGTAGAAATAAAAGTTCTAATGTCCCCTTGCCATTTCTTTGCTTGGAGACCTGATTTCTATAAGGATTATAGGATTCTTTGATTATTTCCATGGATTCATCCTCTGTTGATTTCATAATTATGATATCAATGAAATATGACTGGGAAGTGTCGAGGGCTGTTTATTGAAAAATCCCAAAGGAGACACAAATGCATGAGGGAAAGAATTTAGCTTTGATAATGAATGATATTTGAACATTTACAGTGGCTTTATAAACAATAAGCTGTTGGTAAGACTTTACAAAAACAAATTAGACAAGAGCCTCTTCTACCTTTCTCTAATACTCAAAACAGTTCCTCCCCTAGACAAGGCATGTGGTGGGCAATCAAAGATAGAGGTGAAAATGGCACATTTCATGATTACTCACAGAGTATTTACTTCCAAGCCCCATGATACAGGCCTCTGTTGGTTTAGAGGTCTGAGTACCCAAGGAAGGAATGCTTCCACCAGGACATCCAACAATAGCTCCACTGAATTGGAGCTAAGGCAGCTGCCCAGATGTTTTGGATAAGCAGGCAGATGCCATTGGATAAGCAGGCAAAAAATAAACTGGAACTGGCTAGAATAATTGCTCTTGATTATGAAAGAAAACTATTTTCTGGATACACAGTGGGGGCAGGGAATGTTATGTTGAATCTCCTATGGTACCCTTTGGTACAGGGTATCTTGCAACGAAAGTTATGAGAAGATGATAGCATTTTAACATAGGCAGGACTATCCAGAGCTCAGTCCTTTAGGAAGGATGGTGTGATTCAGTCTACTAAGAGAGGAACCCCAACCACCTGATGTGCTTACTGAGTACAATGAACATGGAATGAATACTGAGGGTAGAAGGCATAAAGATCAATCATGGATATGTGCACAAACTCAAAAGTGTGGATAATGATGCCTACTCATATTTTCTTCCTTATCATATATTTTTAAAATAATTGTCGGGGCGCCTGGGTGGCGCAGTCGGTTAAGCGTCCGACTTCAGCCAGGTCAGATCTCGCGGTCCGTGAGTTCGAGCCCCGCGTCAGGCTCTGGGCTGATGGCTCAGAGCCTGGAGCCTGCTTCCAGTTCTGTGTCTCCCTCTCTCTCTGCCCCTCCCCCATTCATGCTCTGTTTCTCTCTGTCTCAAAAATAAATAAACGTTAAAAAAAATAATAATTGTCCATTTTATCCCTCTCCTATTCTTTTCTTTATTATATAGAATGTATTGGTTAAATTTATAGATTAGCTTACTGGATTCAGAATTTACAGACAAAGTCATGACAGATTAGAGGAGAAAGTTCTGTCACCCCAAGATCCTGGACTTGAAGCAGATGCAGTAATTGATAAGAGGCGAGGATAATAAGATAATAAGAGGCGATTGTTTTTGAGGCGAGGATAATGTGCTTTTGTTTGTACAATGGAGAGTTGGGTTATGTTGACTTGCCCATTTTGTTGTTTATGGTGGTAGTGTAGTTGTACTCTGCAAGTTTGAATATGGAAGAAAGAGTGGATGTAATTTGGTACATGTCATGTTTTCGTCTCAAGTGATTTGCCTGTCATTCCTATTTTGGCAATTTCCACATTAGGAGTCCACCTTCTTCTCCAAGGAAGACTCTCTTCCTTCTCTACCTGAGATCTACATGTGGGCATAGATTCTGACACCAGGTATACTCAAATAAGACTTTGCTATAGAAGGGAATGATGTAAAGGATCAGTCACCACCTAGAATCCATGCTTTGGAGGTAGTAGTTGCACCTGTGTTCTATTCTAGGGGTGCAGTAACCGCTGAGCATCCAGCATGCTGCGCACAGTGTCATCAGTGCATACTGCTTGCTTTGTGTTTGGCCACAGGGAACACTAAGTTTTAGGGAGCTGTCCTTGGATCCAAGCCTGATTCTCTAGCTCTACTATACCAAGCTATCTAATATCTGTTAATAAATTCGCTTTTTGCAAAACTAACTCAAGTGGATTTTGTTTGCAACAAATAATAACACTTTTCAAAATTGTAGAAGTACCCTGTCCCCTACCTCTCAAACAAGATGTTCTTCAGCATGTCAAATAGGAGCGGTTTATGTGTTTCATTCACGTAGCTCTGTTTACTAGACCTCAGCAGAGTAGCTGTTTATTTGATATAGTGTGGAAGTTTTGCTAATCACGAAATAGTTAAATGCCTTTTACATCTTTCAGGACTTTTGTGCCTTTCTATGCTCATCACTTAAATAATTTTTTCATTTATCAAATATATATTGAGAGTCTTCTATGTGCTAATCACTGTAATAGGTGCTATAACTACAGCAGTGCCTGATACAGACAAGGTCTCTGTGCTTATACAGTTGAAAATCAAATGAGGGAGCCACTTGGGGCAGCTGGTTGGCCCAGTCAGAGGAGCATGTAACTCTTGATATTGGGGTCATGAGGTCAAGCCCCACGTTGGGTGTAGAGATTACTTAAATGAATAAAAAAAAACCCTAAAATATAAGTAAGCCAGTAAGTAATGAAGCTGATTAAAAATGTGATAAGTGCTTTCAAGAAAATAAGCCAAGCGATGCAGTAGAATAAAACTGCAGATGGATGAGACATCACCTTATCAAATATATTTTGAGATTCTACTATGTGTGATGGATGAGACCATCAACTACAAAGGATGGTCGTAGAAGGCAGCTAGCAGACATGTAAAGTTAAACTTTTACATTTTACATTAATAAGTCTGCTGTTCCCATTCTCGCCAAATGAGGCACTAAAATGGAAATGCTAATTCACAAACAAATCTTGGTCTAATTTTCTTTAAAAACAAAGTGTTTTTGCCATATGGTATAATCTCCCAAAAAGCACAGTCTTCACTACCAATGAAAATAGCCCAGCAGGTACATAGAAATACAGAAGCCCATGTTTCATTAAGAGACTCAGTTCTTTTCAGCTTTGGCTTTCAAGTTAATAATACCTAGATTCAGATGAAATCACTAAGGCTTTTCTTGTAGATTCCCAAGTACATAGGAGTCCATCCTATTCTATGGGTGTGACTGCCTCGGACACTGACCACATTCTATGTTCCAGGGCCTATGCTAAATACAAGGAAAATAAAGGCCAAGCCTGACCATGCAGATACCAAATTCAGTTTCCACCTACATCAAGTGTGTGATTATTGTTGTGGAAAGGATACCTATCCTTAAAAGCCTTGATGGAAAGCCCTGGAGAATTTCTCAAGAACCTGTATAATTAGTATATTACAATAGCAGTTGATTTCTATCTTGTTCTCACATTCAGAAACCCATATCCAAATTCACATTCAAAGTCTTAGCTTACTTATGCCTCTCTTTTCTTCACCTTCCACATCTGGTACATCAGCAAGTTCTGTTGACTCCACCTGAGGGTCATGTGGAACTCTGCCACCGCCACCTGCTCTGCCACCATCACCTCCCAGGTCTCTGTCATTTTTCTGTGGTCACTGGTGTACTGGTGAATGTTTAACAGCCACCTCTGGAGGCTGGAGAAGCCCTGCTCTGTAGCCTTTGTTGTTCTGCAGTATAAATACTCCTGCTGTGGCCAGTTTTAAGCTACCTACATGAGTCCCACTGAACGTGAAGTTGGGAAGAGAGGCACAGTAGCACCTGTATTTCCCCACTACAGATAAAAAGATACACATCCCTTCAATGTCATAGATAATGGTTAAATGGAGTAAAATAGGAAGCAATGACTTTTCATTATTTATGAGCTTTGCTTTCAATATAATTTATTTAATTGTGAGTATATACCATTTGATTTTTACATAATGGTTGTGTTTAACAAGAGGTTCACAAAATTGCTAGAAATTTGAGTCAGTTCTTTGGCTTCAGCACACCATGACTTCCTGTCTCAGGCTCCTACAGCCAGTGATTGCCCCCCCCAACCCCCGCCACCTCCCCACCCACACTAAGATGAAAATTTCAACTTTTCACCAATGACCTTCAAGGCCCTTCAAGGTCTAGCTCTTCTTATCTTTCCAACCTTACTTCCTCAACACTCATCCCTTTGCTTAATCCTCTGCAACCACATTGACCTTTCTGCTGTGTCCTCAGACACACCAAGAGCAGCTCTTCCTTAAGAATTTTGCACTCATTAGTCACTCTCCCTGGAATGCTTTTTTTTCAGAGATTCACGGGGGTTGCTCACATTATTCAAGTCTCTCGCTACTCTGTAGAAGAGTCAGCCTTCTCCATCAGCACATTCTCTTGCATCTCCTGCTTTGTTCTCCCCATTGGACTATCACTGTCTGGAACTTAATATCTATTCGTTGGCTCCCTGGTTATTGTCCTACTAGAAGGTAAGTCTTATGAGGCAGGGCCTTTTTCTTTTTCATTCAATTCTGTGTCCCTGGGGCCTGGAACAGCACCTTGTCCCAGGAGGGCACCAAGCCTGCACATTGTGTAACACGGGGTGAGGAAGGGGGGGAGGGGTCTCATTCCTATGGTGTACTTTATAGGTGGTGTCCTTCTGTAGAGTGCCCTTCATCTAGGATAAATCAGTGTTCAAAACACCTTCTGTGAATGAGTGCTCTCGGCCAGGCAACGCACTAGAACTACTTGTATTTTGAGCTGTAACACTTCAAACAGTGTGCCAGAGCCTCACGTGCCTCCCTAGGTTGGAAAGGATAAAAGAATCTTCAAGATCAAAAATCACAAGACTGAGAATAATGGTTTGTTGTCTCAAAAGTCTCACTCCCAGGCATATTTTCATGATAATTGCCTTATAAACTTCTGAGTCCTAGAAGCTCTGACAGTGCCTGCCCAGCTCCTGAAATTTGATTGGATAGACACTGAAGCTCTCTCTGATTCTGGCTTTGAGCCTTTTGGCTTCAGGACTAGAGCTCCCTTGCTGGCTCACTCGTTCTCTCTCTATCCGTCTGTCTCTCTCCCTCCCTCTCTCCCTGTCTCCTCCTCTCTCCTTTTTCCATCCCTGAGATGAGCCACACATGCCTAAATCCCCAAGATTTTTCTTACTGTGCCTTTGGCAGTTGCTTCCTGTGTCCTGGTTGTAAATGGATGTTTCATTTCTCTTTCCATTCATAGCTCTTTGGCTCTCTTCAATGTTCTTTCTAGAACCTGCACCCCACTTTGCTCCAACTGTTGTCTTCTTCCATGTTATGGATCTCTGGGTAGGGATTTCCTTATGCCCTACTCACATCTGCCCTCTCCTGGCAGCTATGATGTCATTCATGTGAACCTGACTTTTAATTTAAATATTGACTGGGTCTCCAGGTGTTGTGCTGTATGTAATGGGCAACATGTTTGCAGTTTCTGGCTTTGAGGAGTTTGATGGGGGATACAGAGAAAATACCCACAGAGCAGACAAGTCAGTGTTTTCTCCAATGGAGTGTGTGAACTTCCAGGGCCTCCTAAAACGATCCATCGGGATGCTTGAAGAAAATGTCAGAACCTGTCTAATTCTATTTCATTCTTTTAATTTCGGTGTTTGTGTGTACCAAGGCATCTTTATTGATTAGGATGTGTTATCAGAAGAGTTTGAAGACCCCTGTGCTGGATAACAATCCTACTTATACTTTAGGACTATGAATCATTTTTATTGCTACTGCCTGAGCAGTCATCAAATTCTTCATGCCCTTTCAACTGTGGAGTTCTAACTAGACACAGTTTAATTAAGGTACAGCAAGGGCTGAACAGTGCGGGATCACTGTATCACATCGTGTATGTGATCTTTGCAGAGATAGTAACTCCTTGCGAAAAATCCACTGTATTTTAAAAGTCTGCAAATGTTACCTTTGTACTGCTTCCAAGTGAAATGATATGCGATATCACTGAATCAGTTAAAATGTGCTTCCTTTGAATCATACTTAAAATAATTTTGATACTGTACATTCTAAATGTTAACTTGTCACAAATCACATTTCTTAAGCACTTTTTCTTTTGTGCCGGGTTGTTGTTTGTCAACTTAGTATCATCCCTATCTCTTGCCAGGAGAGTTCTGGTTTAGATTTTGCCAGTCAGAAGAATTTGACATTTGGAAGGGGAAATGAGAGGAAAAGCCAAAATTCCCCGGTAATGGCAGTGGACAGAAGTGGGGACTGTTGGCAGGCCTGAAGTTGTCAGGCTTCTGGGTAAACTACCTAAGGCTTTAGGGGCGGCAGGTGGCTGAGATGACAATAGCTTCCCTGCTATTCCAGGGATTCCTGCAATTCCTTACATTCTTGCTCCTCTGGATTTCCTGAAAGCCAGTTGAAGTTTTTGCCTGATCTTCATGTTTCCTACCCTTCCAAAAATTGTGTAGGTTTCTAATTTCCTAAATGAAATCCCCACCTACTTGAAATGTCTCCTGTGGTTTTCATTTTCTTAACTGAACCCTGATTCATAGACTAGTTCTGGGATTGCATCCGAAAGAATAAAACAAGGGTAAAAGGATTCTTTGTGTTTCATGAGTGAAACAACTCAACATTTTAGAGATATCAATTGACTCCCAAATACATAATTTCATTGAAATTTCAGTCAAAATTCCAGTAGAGGTTTTCTGGGGGTAACAAAGTAGAAAGCTGAAATATACAGATATTGAGATGTTCGATTTTGTTCTCTGCTCTTGTTACTTTAGTCTATTTGCAAGTACCACTTTTTTTTTTTTCACGCAGACTTTGTAAAACCTTGTAAGTTTTTCTTCCGTGGCATTGCCTTTATAGACCTTTGTTCTTCCTTATATATTTTGGAAACCTTATCAGGTCCCTCGCCTTCTCTTCCATTCCCTCCCAAAACACTATAATATGCATATATTACACATAAATATTAATATATACAAACTTGGCATAGAATAGTAGACACTTACTAAAATAGTGGAGACAGTATGGGGTCTCACATCAAGTACAGAAATAATCTTCAGTGGATTAAAGACTTAAATATAAAAGAGGAAAATGATAAAGGACAAAAACAATGTAATAGAATCTTTAAGTCCTCTGAATAAGGGAGATGTTTTTCTTAAAAAACCTAAAAGAACCCAGTGCCTGGGTGGCTCAGTCAGTTAAGCGTCTGACTTAGGCTCAGGTCATGATCTCACGGTGTGTGAGTTTGAGCCCTGCGTCAGGCTCTGTGCTGACAGCTCAGAGCCTGGAGCCTGCAGCCTGCTTTGGATTCTGTGTCTCCCTCTCTGTCCCTCTCCCACCTGCACTCTGTCTCTCTCTCAAAATAAACATTAAAAAAAAAATAAAAAATAAAAGCACAAAATTCGACTATTTCAAAATTCAAGATTTAAGTTTAATGAAAAGGGCACCTACTTAGGAACACATCATGATAGAACCTCACCCAGGTCCCCAAGGAGATGGTGTTCATTACAGTGTGGTTTTGGTCACAGGGGAGTAGTTGCCACACAGGGGCCACCATTACACAACAAGATGAGTAAAACGTGGAGGATATATCCTGAGAATATTAAGCCGTAGTTAAAAGCTAGGAGATTAATGTATATATAGAAACATGGATAAACCTTAAAAACATCCTGGTAAGTGAAAAATATGACAGAATATGATTTAGCCCAACACTATTGTAGAATCAGGCTAACTCTGACTCATTTTTTTTAACATGTACCCCGTATGTCAATTTTAATATGGAATTCATTCAGGTGCCTGAGAAAACCGAATCCGATTGCCTACTTTTGTCAAAGCATTAAGAATAAATTCTGCTGCTGGATTTTAAACATTAAGTATACCACTAGGTCTTGGCATAGTGCATTGCACACAACAGGCCGTTAGTAATAAGCACTGGTGTGAGCTGGTCCTACCCTAAATTATCTTAAGATTTAGACCTGAATGAGTGCTAGCTCTTACTCTATAAAGACACAATTGGTAACTCATGTCGCTTCCACAGGTGTGGGATTGGCTGAGTTCCCAAAAGGTGCCAGAAATGTGTGAGATTCAAGATAGTTGAAGGGCATTTTTCATTTTTGTGGAGTTATTAATCCTCCAGTTCAGGAGCTGACAAACTAGCGCATTCAGCGCAGACCCCGCCTGCAGCCTCATTTCACAAGACTGTGAGCTTAGGATGGTTTTTACATTTTGAATAGTTGTCACACACGGACCTCAATAATATTCTTGATTGTGCCTCTTGGCCTGCAAAACCTAAAGTGTTTATTATCTGAACTTACAGAAAATATTTACGAGCCCTTGCTGTGTGGCTCATCCACTCATTGGGTAAATATTTACTGATACATGTGGTGTGCCAGGTGCTGTTGGAGGTGAAAGTGGAACAGCGAACAAAAGAGACCAAACATCCTTGTTTCATGGAGCTTAAATCCTAGGGGAGGGAGACTGATAATGAAAGTCAAAATAGGGAGTGTCAGAGCAGTGCCACAAGCAGCGATAAAACAGGGGAGGGGAACAGGGAAGGCAAGAATGACATGATTATGGAAGCATGGTGTTATTTATTTATTTTAAAGTTTATTTACTTGAGAGAGAGAGAGAGAGAGAACGTGAGTAGAGGAGGAGCAGAGAGGGAGAGAGAGAATCCCAAGCAGGCACCATGGTGTCAGTGCAGAGCCCAATGTGGGGCTCAACCTCACAAACCATGAGATCGTGACCTGAGCCGAAATTAAGAGCTGGACACTTAATCAACTGAGCCCCCCAGGAGCCCCTGAAAGCATGGCATTAATTAGGAAATATTACAATATATAGCTTTGACTAAATGGTTTATATTATTTGTTGATACAACATAAGCAGTTTTCTTTTTTTAATTCTTTTTTTTTTTTTTTTTTACATTTTATTTTTGAGAGAGAGAGAGAGAGAGAGAGAGAGAGCGAGCACAAGTGGGGGAGGGGCAGAGAGAGAGGGAGACACAGAATCTGAAGCAGGCTCCAGGCTCTGAGCTGTCAATACAGAGCCCAACATAGGGCTTGGACTCACAAACTGTGAGATCATGACTTGAGCTGAAGTTGGATGCTTAACCGACAGCCACCCAGGCACTCCAACATAAGCACTTTTCTGAGTCTTTGGGTGGTGTTCTCACTTTCGTGAGACTCCACTACAATAAATTTATGAGGGTACACTTACCTCTCTGGCCTTGCCTGGCCTTTGCAACATCTTCTCATTCCGAAACTTCTTGTTATTGACCAGTCTTTGTCTATTTTTTTCTTCAACTCACAGATAGACATTGGTGCTTATCAAAACTGCTTTTGGTGAATCTTTCCTGTTCTCACCTCCTTTTCCTTAAAACAATGTTGTTTATTACAAAAACAAAATATAGCAGGGAAGTTAACACCCAAAACTGTGACGAACTTCAGTGAACATTTTGGAATATAACCTTAGAAATAGTTTTTTATAAGTAACACACACACACA